GTTAGCTTCCAACTTATTTCTCCTATTTGAAATAACACCAATATTAGCATGTGCATGTCCACTTTTAACTTACTTAATCAATCTCCTTGCCTTCCTCTCATTCCCTCATGTGACTACATGGTGCAACTAATCTATACGCACTCAAAAAGTATGGGAAACTCACTCTCCCAACTTTTATTTATTTCTCAACCCTCCTACTCTATTTATAGAGGTATTGTGGATAACATCCCTATATGTTAGGAACTTTTTTCTCACATTCGTTTGACAACCCCAACTGCTAGGCTTACTTGACACATTTTGGAAGTGCCACCTTGTTGTAACCGCTTCTTATTTTATCCCACTACTTCCTAATTACGAGTAACCACCAACTCACCCATTAACTTGGAAGTTATGTGTCCTTATATATTCTGGTAATCGTCCACTACCTCGGGTAGTTATCTCTCACAACCTTGAGTAATAACCATCCACTCTCAAGGTAATTATTCTCCATTATCTCTTGTGGAAACTGTCCACATTCTCTTATGAAATAGAAATTAAAAAGAACATAAAAATAAGTTAACATAAAATGGATAAGAATAAAGACATGGGCACAATGCACATTATCACCTATATGGATATGTGTGTTTTTATTAGTCAAAATAAATTTTGTATTTCATTAGAATATCCTCCTTTTACATGCCATATATATATATATATATATATATATCAAAATATCATTCTTTACATTTGGATTTGGGAGCCCATAACGAATTACCCTACGCCTACACAACCTACGAACTACCCTCTCTCTCGCGTTTTCCTCTTTTCCTTCTCTTTTTTCTTCATCCTCCCCATTTGCGTACTTACTAGCATCAACGTGCTCTATCTTGAGCTTCACTTTCTTTGCTTCTTGCTGGATCTCTTTGTTCTCAATAACCCATCACCATCTTGTTCTCTCAGTCAAAAGAAATGGTGTGTGTAACAAAACCTTCCTCCCACTTGCCTTTTTGATCTCCCAGCAAGTTGGAAGATGCAAGTGAGATCATCTTCAAAGGAAATGAAGAACTTCTTGCATGATAGCTATGCTTGTGTGGCCTCATTGAGGTTCTCCTTAACAATCAGTTGTTCAATGTTTGCCTCTCTGTAATTTTTTTTTTTTGTGCTAAGGCTTCGGGGTTGGGGTGGGTTTGCTTGTTGCGCACTTTGCTTTAGTCTGCTCGATATTTGTGTTTTATGGCATTCATATGCTTGTGTTTTCAAGAAAGACAAAGAATTGTTCAAAAATTCGTATTTTAAAAAAAAAACTAAAATGTTCAAAAAAATTTGTGGCCAATTTCAAAATGTTCCCAATGCCATAGAAATGAATAATAAACAATTCAAACAAGATGGAAGGAGAACCAACTAACCCAAAATTAATTTCTTACAAGGGATATTGTTCAAATACTATTTTTTACAATAGAAACCTTTCGCCACCCACTAAGCAACCATAAAGAAAGAATATTTTGATTATGATATACCCAAACTTGGAAATCCCTATTCTATAAATATGCTCTTAATTTATAGCACTCAATCTACCATCCATAAATCAAAGTAATTGTGAAATTGACTTGCCATGAAATCGTTGAGTGGCTATGAGTGCCAAATCCTCGTTGGATTCGTCACGCACCATTGAATCGACCTCTTTGTCACTCACTACTGAATCAACCTCTGAGAAGGAAGAAGCCGCCAAATTCTTGTTGGATTCGTCACTCGCTCATAAATCGGTCTCTGGGAGTGAAGAAGTTTTTCTTGACAGAACTGTTTAACTCGCTCATGTCGCCAAATCTTGGAGGTTCCGAAAGAAGAGAGAGAAGAGTGATACTTTAATTTTATTTTTTATTTTTTATGCAAGAGCGATATTATATGTTTCGATACTTAATAGCTAGCTTCAAGTACCATTATCTATGAGTCCTAATCATAAGATCAATTCAAAATAACAAAGAGGCAAGTTTGTCAATAGTTTTGAAGCCCATTTGAAACCCATCTTAAGTTTGGTAAATCAAGTTTGTTAATAGTTGTGAAACCTATTTGAAAATTTCAGAAGAGTTTTTTAAATTTTGATATTTTTCTAATGAAGTTTTTGAGGAAGGAAATGAGGTAGGAGGGGAAATGGTGAGAGATAGAGAGAGATAAAGGAGAAGAAGACGGAGTTAGTGATCGAATGAAGAAGAGAGCTAGGAAGGGAGAGAAATGAATAGGTAGTAGTATTGAGGAAGAGAAAACCTCGTATACCGTGTGGAGTTATGTTTCCCAAAATCAATAAATGAATACTTTATTTCCATTATGATTATAATAATAAAAAAATAAAAAAATAATGTACATTTAAAAAAAAAAAATCATATTAGATGCATTTCTAACCCTTAGATGACTCATCATCTAGTGGTTGAGAAAGTGTGTCAAAATATGTGGTTTTATGTGTGTTCCCCGATCTTGACTTTATAGATAGTTTCAATTGAAGGATTCCTCAAATATGCTTATTCGATGGATATCCTTCTCGGGCCCATATAAGGATTTAAACCAATGGTATATATCTTCCAGGTTCCTTTAGATTTGAGAGAATGAAAATATGATATGGGTTTTGTTTAGGAAAGGATTCCACATTGTATTTTCATAATTTGAATCGTCTATTTCTTAGGTATTCCTTCAAAGATCATCCTTGCAAAAAATCACTTGAATTTGAAATCATTTTACAACTCAATTGATGGTTGTATTTTAGTGTTTTCTTGAAGCACCTGGATCGTCGATTTTGTTGATCACAATTGAATGTCTTAATGGTTTCTGATTTTGCTAATTTTTTGTAAGGATAGTCTTTGAATGAAGACTTAAAAAATGGACAATTCGGATTGTTGAAATAAAATTTATATCTGACCTTACAATGGTTTTTGGGTTTGGAAAGGAGATTGAAATACCATCATCGTCCCTCCCCATACACTATAAGCAGAAATTTCCCTAAATCCGATTTTCGTCCTTCATACCTGACCCATTATTAGGGGTGAATCCCTACAAAGACCGTAACCAACGAGGAAAATTGTCATCCCTAGACATAAGGATCAAATTGGGTTGATTTGGGTCTTTGTTTGGGGATAGTGGGGGACCATGTGGGTTCATGCCAAAAATACCCTCTAAAAGTTGTCTACATAAGAGTGCATAAGGTCCGTTTCAGTGCCACATAGACATATAACGTATGGACTAACGATCTAAGTAACGAGAAGGGTTGAATGTAAATTTTACGGGGATTTGTGTATGCCTTTACAAATGTCCAACAAATTGTATGTGAAGTTAAAAGATAAGTGATATTTTTATTTTTTATTTTTGTCATAATGGGTCATAATTTGAGGTGTTTTATGTAGTAAGAGGAAAATGAGATGAGAGTGAGAATTGGATGAGATTGAGAGGATGAGAGGAACAAGTAATAAAAGTGAAAATAATTTGAAATATTTTTAGTTTTTAGTTTTTAGTTTTTATTTTCACTTTTGTCACTCATCTCTCCCATCATCTTCTCTCATCTTTCCTCTGAATCTTATCTCCACTATTTTTCTCACATCCATCAAACTGTACTCTGTTTTTTATTGGTGAATGAGGAAGAAAGAAAATCTTAAAGTGGATAAAATAAACAGGTAGAGTGAGTCAAAGAGGCGTAGGAGAGCATCTAAACTGGAGATAGCGAGTGCCGAGGCACGATCCCTCCATATTTTATTCAGTGTTGAAGGAATTTTGATTCCCACCGCTTCCACTGCTTCAAATTATGGCGTCATCACCATTTAAGAATCAGCTGTCTGATTCTCTCAATCTCTTTTTCTTTTTTTGTTTTCTTTTAAATTTCTTATATTACGATTCTCTCAATCTCTTTCAAGCTCACTCTCTATCTCTCTGTGTGTAATCTTTGCTAAGCCATTGGTTGACTTTTAAAGCGAGAAGTACAATGTCCTCGATTGGTTTCTTGCGTACGTGTATGTGGGGTCCATATGCAGAAGTGAGAATCTTTCTCACACAACAATAGTCTGGAATCAGAATAAGTCATGTTTTCTAAGGAGAAGAGACCCAGATTGAAACTTTGGAATTGTGGGGAGATATCACAAGGAACTAGGACAAGGAAATAGCCTCTTGAAAGCTCTTTATAAGGTTTTCCGTTGCTTCTGTTCCTTGTCTTGCAGACAGTTTTCATGGGTATTGCAGAAAAAGGTATATGAATGATACAAGAAAACTACCCACTTGGGTATCCACAAGAATCCTCACACAGTGAGTTATTCTTATTCCTTTTTATCTTCTTTTTTGGTTCTGTTTTGGTTTTATTTGTCCTGGGTCAGAAACTAGATTAGTTCCGGTATTATGAAATGCTTGATTTCAGTCTCTCTTCCTTGATGGAACAATTTCTTTCACTTTCTTCTGCTAAAATTGGAATCTTGAACGCAAGTTGGTAGAAGACTTGTAGAGTATTTTCGAAGAAGATGTAGAAAGTGGGTTTTTATTTATATTTATTATATTTTGTTCTGTCTTCCCCTTTTGAACTTGAATCATTGATATTTGCAATTTTGATGGATATGGGAGGCCAAGGTTCTCCGTTGAAATTCTATTCTATTATACTATTACTGTGTTAGATACTGGTGGTGATTTGATTAGTTTTTGCTACTTTGAGAATATAATCCTGTACCAGAAAAGAAAAGAAAAAAGAGAATATAATCTTCCTGCAATGACGTATGTTTGTGTTTTAGTTTTGATTTGTTAACTTTACTTTCCTTAATTCTCTATGAAATTTTTTTTTGCAATTTCTTCTGTTATTTTTTGCACTCAAAAGATTCTTGTTTATGATATTGGGGAATTTGGACAAACTAGGACTTGAAGGCAGGACGCTAAAGACGTAAATTGTTCCTAAGATATCTTCATTTTTTATAGCTCACAGACAGATTGGTTTTTGGGACCTAAAGGTTCTAGAATACAGCTGAGCATAATCTAGAAAGTGGGGCTTCTGCACAAGGGTCATCATGGACGACGATGTTTTATCACCAGCTACCATGATGGGAGCTCAACCTGATTCCGCTACGGATTTAGACTTCATGGATGAACTGTTCTTAGAGGGATGCTGGTTGGAAACCACAGATGGACCTGAATTTCCTAATCAAAGCCACGCCAATTCTGGTGCCCATTTAAACCCCTCAGTTTTTTGGCATACGTTGGAGGCGAATGGCAATTTGACCATGAACCCATCTGAAAACAGTAATCAAGAAGTGATACAAACACCATTCTTCAAACAACTCCATGAAGGTCCTGTGAATCCTCAGTTTCCGAGCCAGAATATGATAGATGTTGATGGGTACTCTGGTCACTCAGCAGATCCTACAATTAAAAGTTATGAATTGAACAGAAGGTGGTGGATTGGTCCCATAGGAAATCAAGGTCCTGCATCATCTGTGATGGAGAGACTAACGAGGGCTCTTGTGTGCATTCGAGATGTCATGAGAGACAAAAATGTTCTTGTACAAGTATGGGTGCCTGTAAATAAAGGGGGTAGAAATGTTTTAACTACTAATGATGACCTTTTCTCGCTTGATTCTAACTGTCCCAGGCTTTCCAAATATCGAGACATCTCTGTTAATTATCAATTCTCAACTGGAGAGGATTCTACGGAGTTGGTTAAGGGGTTGCCCGGCCGGGTTTTCTCAGGTCAGGTTCCTGAGTGGACTCCTGATGTTCGATTCTTCAGAAAAGATGAGTACCCACGGGTTGACCATGCTCAACATTATGATGTACGTGGAACTCTAGCTCTTCCTATCTTTGAACAAGGTAGTAGGACTTGCTTGGGTGTGATTGAGGTTGTTACAACCACCCAAAAGATAAAGTATCAACTTGAGCTTGAAAGTGTTTGCAAGGCACTTGAGGTCTGTACTCTTTCCTTGAATTAGAATTTCGTTCTTCATTTCGGTTTTTTCCTTTCAATCAGGTCAGTGAATGCAGTGTAAAGTGGTGCAAGAGGCAGTTGGAGCTTATTAGTATTGTTATGAATATTAACAGATAATTTTACAAAAGTTGACATCAATCAAAGTCCCATCAGTCCTTAGAGATGTAATAACTGATAATCATGTTGTCGAAACATATTATGTCTTTCATTTTTCGGTAACTTTTAGTTCTTTTTGGAGAATCCCCATGTTAAATTAAAGTGTGGCCATCTGATCTTTACATTGTAAAACTTCTTGCTTCATTTTCTTATGCTTTCATATTAATAACTAAGGTTCTTTTGTTAATCCTCTAATCTTGTTTCCCAAATTGAGAGGATAAGTAATGAATTCAAACTTAAATTACGAGAAGGAAAGCAACCCATGATCTTTTAACAGATATATTCACACCTGATGAATGGGAAACTTTTTTTTTTTTTTTTTTTTTTTTTTTTTTTTTTTTTGGGGTCAAAAATTGGAAACTTCTTGATGCTTATCTGAGTATCAGAGCTTTCTGAATCGGTGCATATAAAGTCCAACTTAATGATGGACATATGATTAGAAATTACCTATCTTTTGTCCCCATGTTTACTTTCATTTAAGTTACTGAGAATAAGAGTGACAACTTTATCTTATATCTTAGCAGATAAATGTCCCTTTATGTTTTATTCATAATAGTTTGGTCCTGTATGTCTCTTCCTGTCTTCCATTAAAAAAAGAAAAATGCTTTTTTTTCCTCATCAGCGAGTATTTTTTTCTTTGATGTCTGTGATTATAGCTTTAAAGATGCAAGTAATTGAATTCCAAATAAAGTGGTTTTTTTGGGGTCAAAATTCCAAATACAGTGTAAGTTACCAATTATTGTAAGCTTGTGATATGAAACTTTCTTAGATCCATATTCCTTTAATAAGGACTTTTGAGATTCATATCACAAGCACATAATGACTTGTTTGTAATTCTTTGCAGGCTATTCACATGAATATTTTTTTCTGATCTGAACGAGTTTTATCATTTGCAGGCTGTTAATCTTCAAAGTTCTAGAAATTGGAGTACTCAAAACATAAAGGTAAACGGATAATTTCCCTGAAGAAAAATTGATTTATTAGATATTCACGTTATTCCAATTTTCTTTTAAGGTCATTTGGTGGGATTATTTTAGCAGGGGTGTGTCAAGCCCTATCAAGCTGCATTACCTGAGATCCAAGAGGTCTTGAGATCTGCATGCGAGACACACAAATTGCCTTTGGCACAAACTTGGGTGTCATGCATCCAACAAGGCAAAGATGGGTGCAGACATTCTGATGAAAACTACGTTCACTGCGTTTCAACTGTGGATCATGCTTTCCATGTGACTGATCCTTATATCGAGAGATTTCATGAAGCTTGCTCTGAGCATCATTTGTTAAAAGGCCAAGGCATTGTTGGGAAAGCTTTTATGACCAATCAACCATGCTTCTCAGATGACATAACCTCCTGTGTTAAGACAGAGTATCCTCTATCTCACCATGCCAGGATGTTCGGATTGCATGCAGCTGTTGCAATACGTCTAAGGAGCATGAAAACTGGTTCAACTGATTTTGTTCTGGAGTTCTTCTTGCCAGTGGAGTGCAGGGATCCAGAAGAACAGAAAAAGATGCTAAATTCACTGTCCATAATTATACAACAGATTTGCCGGAGCTTACGGGTTGTCACAGACAAGGAACTAGAGGAGGAATCTGATTTTCCTGTCAGTGAGATGATAGTCTCTTCGGATCCCAGACCTAGTGGTATTGCCAGTTTCACAGAGGTCCAACTGAGTGGTAATGATGTCTCAATATTCCCAATGGAAAATCCAAGGGAGGTGCTTGATGTGAAATCCTCAAAGTTAAGGCAACATCAACCAGATTCGAACCTAAAGGTTGGTGTCAAGTGTGGGAGAGAGTGTTCTGCTTTGGGCGAGGGTAGCTTCTCAAGTGTTGGTGTGAGCAAGACAAGAGAGAAAAGACGTACTAAGGCAGAAAAAGCCATCACCTTGGAAGTTCTTAGAAAATATTTTTCCGGCAGCCTAAAAGATGCTGCAAATAGCATTGGAGGTAAGCATTTCTTGCAACAGACCTGGTTCCCATTTCACGTTTTAGTTATTGTGAATGCTTGTATGGCATTTTGCTAGCCTTCAGACTAATGGGACTGTTCATATACTTTCTGCAATTTAATGGTTGTTTTTTATGTACGGATTGTATAATCTACATATGTGCGTTGTAGTCTTCCAAAATAAGGTTTCTCATGTTCGTATTTTCTGTTACACCTCCTAAATTTGAAGTGAAATACACAAGTTCCACAATACTAGCACACTATAGTATCTGCTGTTTTCAATATTTATGTGGATTTAAACTTTCTACTGTCAACATTTTAATATATTTCTTTTGTCATTGGTTTTTTTTCCTTTGTCAATTTATCGTATTTAGTTTGCTCCACAACCTTGAAAAGGATATGCAGACAACACGGGATTAAACGTTGGCCATCTCGAAAAATTAAGAAGGTTGGTCACTCTTTACAGAAACTCCAACTTGTAATTGACTCAGTCGAAGGTGCATCTGGGGCTTTCCAAATCAACTCTTTCTACACAAACTTCCCAGAGTTAACATCTCCGAATTTATCGGGGACAAGCCCATTTTCAACCTCAAAGCTGAGTGATCAGCCAAAGCCAACAAACTTGTCACCTGAAGGTGGTGTTGTCAGCCCCCAGGCTACTGCATCAAAATCACCCTCATCTTCATGCAGTCAGAGTTCCAGTTCAAGCCAATGCTGTTCCAGCAGGACACAGCAACATCGCCCCACATGTAATGTCACTGGTGGTGATGATCCAATTGTTGGAGATAACTCTGGCGATGGTGTGCTAAAGAGGGTCAGAAGTGAAGCAGAGTTGCATGCCTTTAGTCAAGATCGAACACAGCTACTACCGAGATCCCAGAGCCATAAAATTCTCAACGAGCTGCAAAAATTGCAGCCTATTCCACCTTCACTGAAGAATAATGGGGTAGCTCAAGAAGGGGAGGTTCAAAGAGTAAAAGTCGCATACGGAGATGAGAAAACCCGGTTTCGCATGCAAAATGATTGGAGATATGAAGATTTGGTGCAAGAAATCGCAAAGCGATTTAGTATAGAAGACATGAGTAAATTTTATATCAAATACTTGGATGATGACTCAGAGTGGGTCTTATTAACATGTGATGCTGATTTAGAAGAGTGTATTGATGTATGCAGATCGTCACAGAGCAATACAATTAAGCTCTCTCTCCATCTTTCTCGTCATCATTTGGAAAGGTTTATAGGTACAGGTGGCCCATCATGATGCTCCCTGAGTTGCAAAACTGAGGTAGCAGAGTATTTCCTTCTACAAAAATGGAGGCGCACCTTCCTTTATTAATTTTAGTAGGGAGGGATGTTGAAGCCTCCGCTGTTGGAGTATGAAATCTTCACAATGTCGACAAAGAGTAATGTAAAAGAAAAATGCAAGTTTTGTGTCTCACAGAACTGAAAGCAAGGATACTGGAAAAGAACTTTTGGGTGCTCCATGTTAAACTGCAGTTATTTGGGGATGTCGAGCTTAAGCCATTGGTTAAAGTGTACTATGTTGGTCTATTAGCTAGTTGATAGTGTTTGCTTTCAGTTCTTTTAATTACAAGCTAGTTGTTGATGGTTGTCTGTATATTTTAGTGAATGAACATAATTCTTTTTCAATAATAAAGTAGGCCTATTTTCGAAGTTTAACTAACCAATACCTGAAGTTTGTCATACAATCATCTTTGTTCTCCTAGTTTGACTCATTTTTCATTTTGATTCATGTCTTTCAAGTTTAACAATTTTAATCCTGTAAATGAGTTTGGTTTTCGATCAAGTCTAAATCGTGAACTACGTCAAATAAATTGATGTAGAGTTTTTCGGTTGAAATTAACATGAAATTACTATTCTGAAATTACATTTTACCTCAAGGACTTGAAGTATATTGAGGCGGCTTTAGCCTTTTTTTATTATAAGATATTTGCTTGGTAAAAAAGTTTTGGTGACTTTTCTTGATATTCCTTGAGCTTCAAGAAAGCCCATTCCTTAAATAATTAGTGTACTTTTAATTTTGGATGGAAGGACTTCAAATGAGGAATTTGAGTTTGAATTTTTGAGATCTCAGCCGCATATCGTTGGATAATAGATTGTTTGTTTCTATGATATGTGATGCAGGGAGAACGCGGTGGGAAATGAAATAGATTAATGGATAGGTTTGATATGGAGATACGGTCCACTATCTCCTACTGCAAGGACCACTCTACAACTGCAGTCAACTAGAAAAATGAAAAGAACAACTCTCTATGATCAGATGCTATCCATTCCGAGGAGTTTGCTCTTGTGAATCAAACTGGTACTTGTTCTCAATTTTTTTAAAAAAAATAAATCAGGTAGAGAGGGAACTTATATAAACTACTTAACACGGATTTCGAACTTAAAACCTCTTACAATATTGGAAAAGTGAAACTACTAGTAAACTAAGAGTTAGTCGGTGATAGTGGTTCACAACCCTCTCTGCAATTGCAACCATGTTGTGTTTTGGCAGAGACATCACAAGACAACTCCAACAACCATCAAGAAATTGCTAAATAAATAATAATAAATTGATAATTAATGTTTTTAATAATTCTGCAATTGGATGTATCCTAAATTCGAAACATTCATTGCTTTAAAATTCCGACTTTTTACTCTTGCTTGTCAAAATTTCTTTATAGAACCATCCACATTAAGGTATGATCCATGTTGGATTATGAACTTGATGCCAAGGAACTTGATGTGAGCCAAAAGAACAAATTCTTAAAAACCCTTTTTTTTTTTCTCGTCAGTAGCAGCTATATAATTTACATGTTGAGCTATTTTAGATATTTCTGTTATTCTTGTCATACATAAAATTTCAGCTACAAAAGAAAAAGGCGAACCCTAGAAAAAGAACTGTTCTGGTAATCAGCTTCTTTATAGTTGTGGTGGAACAGGTGCCCGATCTTGTCGCTGCTCAATGAGCACACGTCTCGAAGGCGGACCAAACATGCTCAAGACAACCTGCAAACAACACAATGTTGAGTACTGTCAATCCAAACAGAGCAACCCGATCCATGGTTTCCATCTTTATTCAAACATATTTGCTTTTTTCAGCTGTTAATTATTGTGTTCATGAGTTCTATGATTTGCATCAAGGATGGTAAGGACACGTGCTACGAAAAGTGTACTAACTTACCGGCAAGAACACGAGCCCGTGCAAGAAACCAAGAAGAACCAATGCTAGGTACATTTGAAAGTAATATACCTATAAGAGCAAAGGATGGAAATATATTAGAGGCTGCTGACAGTACTGGGCAGTGTAATCGGACAGTGAAGTAAACGATTTAGTACCACAAAGACTTCCGTCCTCGAGAAACAAAGCACGATGACCCCAACTAACTTCGTCAATGTGATTCCACTGCAAAAGCATGTCAACAAAGAAGATATTATACAAAATTGGGGATGCAAGTTAGCACGGAGAAAAGTTCTACATCTGTATCACACACGAGCCCATTGGCATTGGACTTAACATTTCAGCTCTTTAATGAAGCATGATCTATTGCGTATGATGCTCTGAGATGTACCAAACATAGCGAAATAAACAGGAGTTAGTGTCCTTGTTTTTAGGAAAGTGGATCGGCCATTGGGATAAGTACCTGAAGACAGAGGCTCCCATTGTAGCCAAAGCCTCCTTGGTGCGCTGATCTTTATCTCCTGTGCTAACCTGTGCAGAAAATCTTAGATACACACACTTGCAGAAAAAGAAAAGGGTAGCGTGACACATTGACACCAAAGGTTACTTGAAGTCATAACCAAACCAAGATTTGAAGTGACCATGAGCAGAGAAACTACAGATACCTTATAACGAATTTTAAAACCATTTAAAGTCATTAAAGCATTACATTGAAAGCATTTTTTTTTCCGAAAATTTGACTACTAAGTATCTTTTTATCTTTTCTTTGAAAAAAAATTGAAATGGAACAATTGATGGATCAAATCTTTCTAACCTGAAGACAAAAGTAAATATTGAGATAAATGTTTAATAGAGTGATACTGACCGAAAAAGCATGTGTCATATGCACGCAAAACTCAACAGAAATGCCCACTGCCATTACAAGATTAACAACAGAGACTGCATTCAATTGGATGTTAAGAATTGCCATCACACCCTGTAGAATAGTATCTTGTGAGCAAAGATGAGAGCTAATGGAAGTGTTTTTTTTTTAAAAGAGAATTTTTAAGGAAGAAAGATCACCATGAGATCCACTACAATCATTGCCAACACCAATAGAATAATTGATGAACTCCATAAACTACAAAACAAATTTGAAGGAAATATCAATACATCATTCATTCAAAACAAACACCTTCTTGCAAAATTTATTTTCTAAATTAAAGAAGCTGAACACCACAAGTAGTCTTGTCTGAAATTGAAATAAGGGCTAAGTATATCAACACTGACCTGCAAGTGATAGCTAGACAAACAATAAATACAGCACCTGGTACAACATAATATATATCCAGGTTATTCTTTTTAATAAATGAAACATTATGCACATCTAAGTAAATAGATACAAGTTCACAGTAAAATCCGAGTTCCAGAGAGGTAACATTTTACAGATTTTTTTTTTTGTTTGGTTTTTTTTTGTGTTAAGCTATCTGCTATCTTCTTGTTCAGTGCTGTGAAAAAATAACTAACCAATGGCTATAGAAAGGTTGATCAGTGCTGTTCTCCAAATATCAAGGTATTGCTCAAAGAACATATAGAATACTGAATATGGGAATATCTCAATCTGCATCAGAAAAGAAATATCAGTTCAATAGACATACCATGACTAACACATAAGTGAATCAATAAGTTAATTTATTTTCATAACATAATGGAATGATAAACCAGTGGCTAAGGGAAATGGGCAAGACAAGACTGCTGTACTCAATCTAACTGGGAAAAATTGGGTATTTGGTCCAAGGACCCAAAAAGAACCCATTTTGAAACGTGGACCCTTTTTCAGAAGTTCAAAAAAATGAACCCTTTTCTGCATAGAGAAAGACTATTCTACCCACATCTCGACCCATGCAAAAAGGAAAGGGCTTTCAACTCCTAAGAAAAGGAGTAATTTTGCATAGTTTTCCTGTTGGGTTTCACGGTTTAAAATTATAAGAAACTAGCAGTTTACATGCTTACTGACTTGGTAGATTCTCTCCTCTCTTGTTTTGACACTTTTTCAACTTAGTTATGATAATAGCCATTTTGTTTGGACACATACTTATAGTTTATTATTTACAATGGCAATCCTGTATAAAAAAATATATGAGCTAATTAATACTATATATATATATCTAAAGGGAATTTATGGAAATACATATTTTGATGTGGCTTTATAATATTAAAGATGTACTGTAAATATATCAACCATCTTCGCAATTAGCCTTCAAATCTTACCTTCAAAGAATCAGAAAGTCTAGAACTGAGCTCCCGAGCAGCCCTCATTGAATTTACATAGTCAACCTAAAATAAATTGTAGATATTTAAGTTATAGGGCTCACTTTAGTATTAATTAATAAAAGAGATAATAGATAAAAAATGAAAATTTTGTTTGTATTGATCACAGACGAGATACCTGCTTGTTGAGAGGTGTATGATATGTACGAAATGATGATGCTGGAATAATGTCACTTCCATTGCCTGATAGCCAAAAATATGATTAACTATTAAAAGGCAAATTTAAATAACAAGCCACATATAATGACAGTTTAACCTGAAAGCACATAATCAGTTTGGAAGTTATCATAAAGGCACGAAATCCAATCCACAAACCTTTGAATTCCACACTGCTAGTGTAAGCTCCATGGCCACCTTTAGCACAATCAGAAGACGGTAGAGCACTGAGGAACCAGGGAAGTTTTTCTTTAAATTGTGTGGTAGATGGACGCCCATTGCGCAGATCCGAGTGACGAAAGCACTGACACGGAAAAATTGAAAACGAGAATTGATGCATGCGTAACTAGACACAGAAATTTGGTTAAAACGTTTCTCCATAATTAGTTATTTTACCGTAGTACAATCTTTGCACACTCCACCCAGGCTACAGGAACCATCACTGGAAGAACAGCAGGGAGGCTGGAAGACAACTTAATTTTAGTATCAAGGGGATTGCAGAGACAAAAACAAAACAGGATGAATTGTGGTATAAAAGATGCATAAGAGGACAGCAAAAGAAGTATTTTCTTTCAAATTTTATATTTTAAATTCTTGCAAGTAACTGTAATGATCCATAGTTCAGAATGGTATCGGACTGAAAACATCCAGCAAGTTTTGAATTCCCAAATGGTGGAGTTACTCAACATGCTCAACTGAAATAAAAGTAATTCCATGATTCCAAAACTGAAGA